GCACAGGGGGGGGGGGGAGCGAGCCGCCGGGCCCACGAGGGCGCTGCGTGGGCGCTCTTGGGGGCCGCTGCGGCCTCTCTTGTGAACCGGCCCTCCCGCGGCCCTTCGGAGCGGCCCGGAACCAGCCTCGAACCTATCCCTATCCCTAAGATTGACACGCCAAAAGGCGATGCCAATCTTAGGGATGCGCCCTCAAAAAATAAAGGGGATCCCTAAGATTGGCATCGTGATGAGGAGATGCCCAGCATAGGGATAGGGATATGTTCCAGGCTGGCAATTCGGAGCAACCCGGGCACCTCCGGAACTAGGGGGCAAACAAACCGCGCCCCCAGACGCCCAGGCGCTCCCAGGCGCTCTCAGGCGCTCCCAGGCGCTCCCAGGCGATCCCAAACAAACCTACCTCGCTTTCTCGCTTTTGACCACCCTCGCTCCCAAGAGATGCCAAGCGATGCCAAGCTACGGCCTGTACTGGCCAGGCCGCTCGACGAGGAGGCGCGTGGTACGACTCGGTTTTGCCTGGAAGCGAAAGCGGGGTAGGCAATTCACGCTCTGAGGAACGCCCGCGGCGAGGCGCAGCTGCCGGAACGCACCCCGAGGCTGGAACACCGCCCCGAGCCGCCGAAATCGTCCGAGAGCCTGGTCGTTGCCCCGGATGCATAGCCCCCCCCTCCCTCGGGCGGGTGGTACTGCGTGGGGGACCCGTGGGGGACCCCAATGGGATGTAAAGGAAGGCGCCCTGAAAGGGCCCTTAGGGCCCCCGCAACGTTCTGCGCCTCGCTGCCGCCTGCGAGCACCTCTGTGACGTGGGCCCACGCCTGCTCCTCGCCTTACGGTGACCTTCGGCATGAGCTGGTTGGCGGGGTGCAAATGGGGGGATAAGTCCAGATGGGGAGAGAGGCGCAACCGAGGTACAAATTGTACCTACGACCCACGGAGAAGGTACCATTTGTACCGACGCCACGCAGACAAGGTACACATCACACTTTTGACAACGTCCGCGACATGTGCGAGGATGTTAACGGGGGGGAGAAGGTACAATTTGTACTTGCAACCCGCAGAGAAGGTACAAATTGCACCCCAACAAAACGGTACCGGATACTCATCCCCCCATGTCCTGATCCCCCCATCGCCATCCGGCCGAGCTGGGCTCATGCCAAAGGAGCTCCATGGCGGCGGCAGCGATACCACATGGTCTGCCGCTCTCTTCCGCCCTTGCACTGGACCTCTGGCTGCAAAGGGGGCTCTAAAGGGCCCTTTGAGGGCCCTTCCTTCACCTTCCATGACCATCCCCTAGAGTGCCCTTCAGGACACGCCCCATTACTATTACCGCCGCCCCCCCCCCTCCCCGCGAGGCCTCCTGTACCCCCGCGGGGGCTCTCCCCCCACGCGCCCCCCCCCTTGAGGGCTCCTGCGCCCCCGCGAGGGCTCCTCCCACCCCTCTGAAAGAGGAGCCGAGCATCAGGAAGGACACGACGGACACCCTTCTGATCAGTGCACGGCTCGCTGTGTCACCCCACTCGACCGTGCGACGACTGGTCGCCTTGAGCGCCGGGCCTAAAGCAACACGCGGCTCTTCCCCCCCCCCTGCGAGGGCTCCTCCCCCCCAACTAGGGAGCCCACAAAGGACGTACGCGCCCGGCTATGTACATGAACACGGCCCTTCGATCCGCGAGACCGGCCGCGTTATACGAACATTTGCAGAATGCGTACTCTCGAAACCAGCGTGGATTCATGTACGTGTACGTCCTTCTGTCGCTCCTGACCAACGTGGGCTCCTGCACCCCGGCCAGCTGCCCCAGCTGGTCCGCGTCCGCGCCCCCGGCGCAGAGCTCGGCGGCCACCGCGGCGTGGCCGCGCCAGGCGGCCCAGTGCAGCGTGGCGAGGAGCGGCAGGGCCTCCTCCTGGGGGCTCCCGCTCTCTCCCCCCCCCCCCTGCCTCTCCCTCCTGCCTCCCTGCTGCCTCCCCTCCTGCCACTTCCTCCTCCTCCCTGCCTCCCCCTCCTCCTCCCCCCATCCCTCCTCCTGCTGCCCTCCGCCTCCCTCCTCCTCTTCCTTTTCCTGCCTCCTCCTCCTCCTCCTCTTCCTCCTCCTCCTCCTCCGAGTCCCCCTCTTCCATATCCTCCTCCTCGTCCTCGTCCTCGTCCTCGTCCTCCTCCTCCTCCTCCTCCTCCTCCTCTTCCTGCTCCTCCTTCTCCTCCTCCTCCTCCTCCTCCTCCACAGACTTCTCCTCCTCCTCCTTCTCCTCCTCCTCCATTCCTTTTCCTCATAAAGAACTTCTCCCTGTCTCACCCCGAGGCTGGTCGAAAGGGAGGGCCGGGAATTTCGCCTGAGACTGCCTCACCACTTATGACCCTGAAGCTGAACAACCGGGAACAGTTTCAGACATGGAGGGCGCTTCGTTTTCAACAATTTAGTTCCCGCCTCGCGCCGCGCACATTTGTTTTAAACATTGTCAGAAGCTTCACAGACTGAGGGCGGGTCGTTTTCAAACTGTAGCTCTCGCCTTAGCGCTGTACACATTCGTTTTAATCATTTTCGGCGGCGCGCCGAGGGGGGTAGGGGAGGGGGGAGGGCTTCTTAGAAGCACCCCTGCTTCTTAGAAGGCGCGGGCGTTCTCTGTAAACGTAAGGCTCGCTGCTTCTAAGAAGCAGCCTTCTTCTAAGAAGCCTTCCCTCCTCCCCCCACCCCCTTGTGCGCACCGCCAACATTTGCGAAAACGTCACGGATCGAGGGCGTGTCCTTTGTAAAAATGGGTTCTCCCCTTTAGCGCTGCGCTCATTCCTCAGACAAATGCAAGAGCTTCACGGATTCCCATGGCCCTCGTACCAGATTTTCTCGGGGGCTGATTCAGCATTATGAAGGTGCAACAGATACGTGGGTTCGCGGTGTTGAAGTCCCAGGAGTGGCTTTCTGGCACGAGTCGGGATCGCCAAGACGCAACGGTCAGGGTGTTTCTTGGCGTTGGGGTACCGATAAGAATGCTTTGGTATACTCTATGGTATTCAAACGGTTGTCTTCCAACGAGGTAGTTCCCTCAGTGGAAATGATTCCTTGTATGAGCCTATGGAGAGAATTTTGGAGAGAGGGTGTATTCCAACATTGTTGATGACTCTTGGGTTTACACTGGTCCTCCTCCTCCTCCTCTTCTCTCGAATCCTCCATCCTCCACCCTCCAACCTCGTGCTTTCTCCTCCTCTTCCCCACAAGCTCCAACATGGCAAGGCATGCGCGCGGGCAGGTCTAACTATGCGATGCCATGGCCCTGGCGCACCTTCTGATTCTGCCAACCAGTTCGACGAACGGGCTCATGGAAACCAGGGGCCACTCCAAACGTCCAAGAGATATGGCACCAGGGGCCACTCCAAACGTCCAAGAGATATGGCATGGGCGCCGCCGCGAATGCTGAAACACGACGCCGTGCACGCTGAAGCCGCCCATCCCGCCAAAAAACAACAAATGAAAGTAACATGAACCGTGCGATACTGCCTGGCTTTGTTCCCGCGTTCACGCGATGTCTGCGACGGCCATCCATCGGCGCTCAAGCGCCAAGCCCCTGGGGCATGCGCGGCAGCAACATGGGCGCCAACTGAAGCCAGTGGCAAATGCCACACTTGAGAACATGGCGCTTGAGCATACAAGTTCCAACCTCCTCCTCCTCTTCCTCTTCCTTCTCCTCCTCTTCGTCCTCCTCCTCATCGCTCCTAGTCCAAGCTCCAACATCCGCCTCTGCCATCTCCCTCCCACCTCGTCCTCCATAAAGTTTCCTTGAAAAACAATCCTCCTTGTCGCACCCTGAGGCTGTCAGTAGGGCGAGCCAGGCTTTTCAGCTTGCACTTCCTCACCTTCAAGGTCTTGAAACTACAAGTTGCAACACTTTCACGGATGGAGAATCTCGCTGCGCACATCCGTCTGAAAACTTTGCAACAATTTCAAGCATGGACAACGTGTCATTTTCAAAATGTGGTTCTCGCCTTATTGCCGGCCACATCAACCTCCGTCTTGGATCCGCGCGGAGACCCAAAACTTTATGTTTGCGGCGCTTCTCCCCCTCAACGTGCCCAGATGTTGGTCCTCCAAGACTCTCCGCAGCCCCGAAGGGTTCGGGCGGGCGGTAATGGGTGGTGACCCGGGTAGGGGAAAACAAAAGGGGCCGCAGAGGGGCCCCTTTAGGGCCCCGTTTGGGCACCTGTTGCCTCAAAAAGGGGGCCCTAAAGAGCCCCTTTGAAGCCTTTTTTCTCCACCCCCCCCAGTTGGGTCACCCCCCACTATTCTTATGTCGGGCCTGTCCTCCTACAGGGGGATTTTCGACGAAAAAAAAATACCCCAAAAATACCCCCAAGAGGCAACAAAAAATTGAAAAATAGTCCCTGGACTATTTTTGTACTTTTTTTTTTATTATTATTATTATTATTATTATTCGGGCATTTTGTATTTTTCGTCGAAAATCCCCCTGTAGTGGGACAGGCCCGACTTAACATAATTCCGCCCGCCGTTCGAGTTTTCAAGCTGATGCTCCAGGAAGCTTCCTGTCTGCCTTCAGATCATTCTTGCGCGTGCAAGGAGCTCTACGACGTCCCCGGCGGTAACCTGGTTGACGGTTTACGGCCGGCGCCCACTTGGGTCACCCCCCACTATACTATACCGCCCGCCCGAGAGATTCTGCCCTCGGGGATCTTCTGACCCGGGTCAATCCAGACCCGGGTCAGCAGGAAACCAAAAACTGCAATGCAGGAACAAAAAACTGCAACGCAGGTCTTCGCAAACCCTGGTCAGCCAATATGCGCGGCCGCCTCGCGGCCACGAGCGGCTCGCTAACCCGGGTCAGCCAGAGGGGGTCTTCGCAGGATCCTGCAGGATCTGGTGCCCTGGCTGACCCCCGTTTGCATTGACCCCCGTCTCGAGGCTCCCGATGCCCGCGGGCGGGGTCCTTGTCGGGAGGGCGCGCGGCCAGCGCGGCGAAGCCGGCGAGGCGCCAGGAGGCGGCGTGGGCGCAGAGGCCCAGGCGGCCAGGGCGCCCCTCGAAGTGCGGGCCCTGCGCCGACGTCGTCGTCGTCGTCGTCGGCCGCGACGTCGCCGCCGCGGCCGCGGCGCGCCGACGTCGTCGCGGCGTCGCCGTCGTCGTTCGTCGCCGTCGTCCTGCGTCCCCTCCAGAAGGCAAAACATCCACCCCCAGAATGATCACCCCGGCACGCGAAGCCGTTTAGCAAACGCACCCGCAGAAGGAATCGAACAGGGCAAGGCTGTTGAGTAGACGCCCAGGGCCGTTTAGTAAACGCCAATTGTCGTATCCGGTTGGATTTCCCTCCCTTGACACTGTTCCTGGTCTGGTCGTTTTCATCCACATGGTTTTTGCTTGGCTCTCCTTCAGCTGCACAACTTTCCCTGTTCGGCATACGTAATTCCTCTTCGTCGCAACACCAGACAGATCAAGAGAGGTGATCCGGGTGTCTCGCCGCTGACCTTCTCACCAGTCATGATCCTGCAGCTTCACGCTTCCCGACAGCAGCAGAGACAGAGGGCGGCAGCTTTCAACACTGGGATCTCGCCTCTCAGCGCCGCGCACACTCGTCTTTCTTGTTTTTTGTTCCGACGTCCATTCCCCGTGCATGTTATTTGTTTCGTGCGTGCTGTTTTGCCTGGTGGTCTAGGATACTCCTCGATTCGATGGCCCACGCCGCGAAAAAGTGCACATGTCCGAAGGATGCCAAACTTTTTAACCATGCCCCAACAACGAAGACGGAGGGCCGTGCCGTTTTCAAGCGGGGCCTTCGCCGCCGCGCCGCGCGCAGTCGCCCCACGAGTCTGTTGCACTCGAGGGGGTGGCACGTGCTCAAAAAACGGGGCTGCCGCCCCCGCGCCGCGAGCGTTTGCCTCGACCGCCCGCAGCAGGGCGCATGGGCGGGTGTGCAGAGGCCCCGGGACACACAAATAAACAGACACGAAGAACAGGATTCCCCAGATCTTTCCACATCTTCTGGGTGTTTGTCTTCCCCCCCCCACTTCCCATAGTTTCCTGCATTGTCTAGGGCATCGACGATTCATTGTGTCTGTGTGTTTTTTCCCTCCTGGGGACGACGGCGCCGTGGCGAGCGTGTGGCTCTCACGAGCGTACGCGCTATCTGCAGACCCCGGCGGCCGGGAGCTCGGCAGCACGTGCAGGAGCTGCACGGCTGGGGGGCGGTGCCTCCTCCCCACCAAAGCAGGGCTCTCGCGCGAGGCGTCGGTCGGGAGGCACGGCTGGGGGGGGAGGAGGAGGAGGAGGAGGAGGAGGAGGAGGAGGAGGAGGAGGAGGAGGAGGAGGAGGAGGAGGAAGGAGGAAAGTGAGGACAGGGACCAGGAACAAAGAAGAAAGGAGTGACCAAAAAACAACAAAACTCACAAAAAAAGGAAAGAGGAGGAGGGTGGAAAGGAGGAGGATGAGGAGGGGCGGAGGAGGAGGAGGAGGGGGAGAGATGAGGAGGGGGAGGGGGGGAGAGGCACGGCTCTGGCTGTCTAGGGAGGTAGGAGGGTGTCTCTGGGGCTTTGGGGCATGGAGGGCTGCGTGCTGATGGAGGGCTTGTGGGGTGGGGGGCTCGGGGGGGCTGTCTCTGGCCCTGGCTACTGGTGGCTGCATGGTCGGGCTGGGCTGGGTGCTCAAATTGGGCTTTGGGGTTCGTGGTCTTCTGGGCTGGGGTGGTCAACTGCTCGTGCTGGGTTGGGGGCTTGTTTTGGGGGGGGTGGGAGACTGGGGGAGTGGGCGTGCTGGCTGTTGGGTGGAAGGGCTGGGTGGCTCTTATTGGTGGGGGTTGTCTGCTGTGCGGATCGCTGCTGGTTGGGGGTGAGGGACTGGGGGTGGGGGGGCTGCTGGGGGAGGGTGGGCTGGGGGGGGGGGGTCTCATCTGAAGATCCAGCTGGACACCCCGTTTGGGCTGTGTGGCGACAGCGTTTTTCGAGTGTCGTGCTGCTCCCTGGAACGATGCAGGGCTTGCTCACGCCGAAAGAGCAAGGATCGCGAACGAACGCCAGGCCCATAGGGTGCTCGTCTCTCAACGGGGCGCTTCATGTAGCAAGAAGGAACCTTTGTAGGCGCTCGTGAGGATCAACTTGGGACGGGAGAGTGCATACCAGCATCGTTCATGCATCCTGGCTTTTCTCATGTCTCTAGCATGGCCGCTCCTCCTCCCCATCTCCCCGCCTCCCTCCTCCATCCTCCTCCTCCTCCTCCTCCTCCTCCTCCTCCCCCTTCTCTGCTTCGCTCCCCCTTCTCCCCCTCCTCCTCCTCCTCTCCTCCTCCTCCTCCTCCTCCTCCTCCTCCTCCTCCTCCTCCTCCTCCTTCCTCTCCTCCTCCTGTCACGCACAGGATCCTGCCCCCGCCTGTCTCCACCGAGAGTACCCCCGTCCATCGTACTCCTCGGCATCGGCAGGGCATGGGACACACCCTCGTCCCGCTTTCGGACCTGCAGGACATGGCCACTCGCCTGCCCTCTTCCTCCTCCTCCTCCTCCTCCTCCTCCCCATCCTCCCGACGATCTCTCACCCTCCCCCTCTCTCCAATCAGGCCCACCCTCCTTCTCCCTCATGGCCTGTTCTCACCTCCTCCCCCCTCCTCCCCCTCCTCCCCCTCCTCCCCCCTCCCCTCCTCCCTCCCATCCTCCTCCTCCTCCTCCTCCTCCTCCTCCTCATGTGGCCCTCCCCCTCCCCCCCAGGAGCTCCTGAACCCTGCGGCCGCGCGCAGCTCCGCCGCCCTCATCCAGGTGGTCCGCAAACGCCATGAGGCCGACCCCGGAGGGCAGAGACGACGCCAACGCCGGGAGCTCGGCTAG